GTTTATCTGTCCACTTGTCGAGGTCTCCCGTCAGTTCCCTGAGCAGCGGAGCATAGTTAGCAGAATATAGACGTACGGGGTCCGCTGTCAGATTTATCCCTAAATACTTCAGCGAATCCCTTTCCATTCTTATTTGGTGGGTCTCCTGCAATCTAGCTATGACGTCTTGTGGTATATAGATCGGGAGGGCACTGGACTTCTGAATGTTTGCTTTATAACCTGATACCAAACCGAATTCCGTTATTACATCCTGTATCGCCATCATTGATTCATGAGGGGTTGTAATGGTCAATAGGACATCGTCTGCGTAAGCCGACACCTTAAACTCTTTGTCTCCCACCCTTACCCCTGCAATGTTCGAAGGCATTCTCTGTTTACTTGCTTTATCGGCTATTATATTCTCTGCCGACTTGCCTGGAATTTGCACAATGCAGTTGGCAGTTTTTTCGCCTCAGTGAACTCTTATTGTTTGACCAATCAGGGTATTTATCTTGCAGCAAATCTGCACGATTGTTGCTACCCAAAGACTGTATACATAGTTACTTTATTCTACTTTCTGTATATACCTCTTTACTACACCAGGTGCCCATGAAGGCACCTTTCCACCTATTCGTCTCTCTTCTGTCCATAGCTCTATCAATGGCATCGTTACTTGCAAATAGGGCTTTTCTTTTGATTTAACCACTCTTCTTGTTACTGTTGGGCATAAGAACAACGTATAGGTATTTTGTGTGCATTTACCCATTCATTGTTATCCTTATCCGCTTGTGTGAAATTTTTGCATTTCGTTGCGATTTTGGTGACGGCATTTAGAACCTTAGTTTAGCTGTATGATGAACTCACTCACCACCAGCTTGAGTGGCTCACCGGACTGCAATTCATTCTGTGAGGAGTCACTTCATAATGATAACTTTTAGCGATATCACTTTATTTCTTTATGTAAAACTTAATCAGATCTCAGTTACCCCTTGAGCACTGATCACACGAGGCAGTGGACTGTAAGCTCTTAACTGGTATACTTATCTCACAGCCCCGATATTAGGCGGACAAGTTAACAATTTGAATTGAAGATTTGCAGCAAATTGTGGTACATACCTTTTTTACCTTTTTATGCACTAATGATATACCGATGCCGGATAATAGCTGATTCTGATGTAACTGTTTTTTAGTTACATTATAGAATCTCAGGCTATTCTCATGATACATTGTTACATCGGCTATAACTGTGCAAGGTTGTTTCCCTTTTAGGGAATTTCTATCTATGTGTGTAGGTGTTTTTATCTTTCCCTCTTTCCTTTCTCTTGTTTTGAACAATAAAGTATAACACTTTTTAACTGCTTTTCTGTATTTTCATATATATTTTTTGGATTTATATTATGTAGGACAGACTTTCTTTTTCTCTTTTGTATAAGGTTTACTCCATTAGGGTTATCCCCTGGTCTGTCCGGTTGGACTACTATTTTTTGGCCATTCTTTCTTCCTTTAAGGCTTATAAAGCCTTCCCACGCCCTGCAATTTGACTTAGAACGCTCTGATTGGTTGGTTTAACTCAGACAAACAAAGTGCTCTGACAGGTAAATGAAGAGACTGACCGGTAAATCTCTACATTTACCTGTCACAGCACTCTGACATGTTGGCTTGGCATCCAACCAATCATACAGACACACACACATTAACTCATACAGACACAAACAGTGACCCATGCGCGCGCACACACACACACACACACACACACACACACTGACCCTTACAGACATACATATATACATACTGACTTATGCACATACCCATACACTGACACATACAAACATACTGAGCTATGCATGCGCACACACACTGACCCATGCATATATACCCATCCTTACAGACACACACAGACCCATAAAGACGCACACACACATACATTAAATTATCCTTCAATGGACGTCTTGTTCAGTGTGCATGATAAGACTTGTAAGGTGTTAAAATAAAAACAAGTTAGATTTTTCCAAAATAAATGGCACAACCTTTAGCTAACTTAAACTGTTTGGTTGTGAGAAATGTCACCTTTTTTTTGCCATGGCTGACTGTCCCTAAATATCTAGAACAGATAGTTACTAGGTATTTTTCTTATATAAATTCAGGCTGTCATTTTTCAGACAGAACACTATTGTAGCCATTCCCTAAGCTGGGAAGGAGCTAAACACATGAAATATAATTAGTGTATTATTTCATGTGTTTAGCTCCTTCCCAGTTTAGAATGGTGTTCCGGCATCGATGGAGGAGAATCCGTTTAGGAGTAGGAAACCTGACCCAAGGTCAACCACCCTCGGCTCTCTTCTCTATGAAATTGTACATTCGGACATATTAATACTGATAGAAAAAACTAAAATATATAACTTAGCGCTTATAAAATGATTACTCAATCATCAAGTACGGAATCTCTCTTTTCCGGGTTAAAAGCTGGATAAAACAGGGGGTTCAATATACTACACTATATATAACTCAGCGCTTCTAAAATTACAGTCCAATGGCAGCTCAATCACCAAGTACGGAATGTCTCTTTTCTGGTTAAAAGCTGGATAAAACAGGGGGTTTCATATACTACACTATTAGTTTTTTTCTGTTCTTTTTCCTTGTCGTTGCATATACTAAATAGTTCTTGTTTGGATATATGCAACGACAAGGAAAAAACGAATATTGTAGTATATTAAAATGGTTGTTGGTATAAAGAAGATAAAATTGTGCACTCACACTTTTATGGAGCCTCAATGCAGCTCCAACTTATGTGCCTGGGCGGAATGTTTTCCGCCTCAGGATATAGTACAGTGCAGATTCTTCACGTGGTTGTAGTTGTAGAAAGTATTCTCATGAAAATACAACAGATTAAAAATTGTAGTGTAGTATATTGAGCTTTTAAGCAGGAGTAGGTATAAATATAAAAGTGTTATATATATATATATATATATATATATATATATAACTAAATAAAAACCACAATAGTGTACACCGTTATTATGGAGGCAATACACAATAAAAAGATTAAAAAAAACCTATGTGGTTTAGAGCTAAGTACTGTTTGCTCAATCCAATACGCTTAGGTAGTATTATCCCTACCAAGGATTTGTAGCCCAAGGATCCAGCAGCAGCAGAAACAGGTCCAATAAAAAGTACTTTAACTGTATAAAGAAAATTAATGAATTTTTTTTTTTTTTTAATTATAAAAGTATCAACCCCCACCCGGACCACGACCGTTTGGACCGAGATGACCGGTATCCCGGCCCACAGTTCAGTTATCTGTTTTTCTGTACATACTGTTCTTGTTGAAACAATAACACCAACAACGACAACGGATGAAAGTAGAGATGTTCAAACTCTTCATATGTACCTGACATGTTTATGTACTATTGAAACGCTCTTGCACGAGCCAAACCCTTTGCATTGTCTACTCCATACCGTTGCAAAAATAAAGAATTAAAAAAAAAAAAAAAATTATAAAAGTATCAATAGTACACTTGGCCCTTTTCACCTAAACATAGGCTCTCAAAAGTGTTTACCATTATAGCAGTATTAATACGGATGCCTAGTTGCTGTAATCATTACTTTTTCTTTTCCTCCAGAACCAAACGGTGTATTTGACCAGCAATATATATTTAGTATTGGTATTAATAGTATATAGTTGTATGATATATAGTTTTGTGTCACCTAATTGGCGCACTGTATTTTGTAGTACTAAAAGGGTGCAGATTGCTGCTCTTTTTTTTCCCCTTCAGTAACAGGTATCACTAGTGTATTTTAATCGTTATGGGTTAATTTGACTTCCTTTCCTTGCTGGCAAACAGTCAGGCGTCGATACGCATTCTGACAATTTATTTTCAGATCCAGTTTTGGATTATGCAAGACCCGTTGGGAAGAAACAGGATTTCCTTACATGCAATACATCTTACAATGAGCAGTTTCAAGCTTTCAATATACCTCACTGGCTTACAGTATCATTTGCCCAATATTACCAATTAATTACATCATTCAGTCTTTCGTGCTGATCTTCCTAGCAACCTGGGAAGTTTTCGGCGATATGCAACAGTTGCAGAATCAGTCAAGGTACAAGTAGAACTAAAGATATTGGCTAGGCGGTGTTAAACTATTTATTTTGGGAGATTAGGTGGTTATTTTTGCCGTCTTTTTCATGCCTACCTGTTCGGTTTTGGCACCACAACCAACTTACTCTTACTAGTGTAGCTCAATCTTTATTGCATGCTCTCAGCCTTTGTCTCTAACTGCAAAGGTAAAATACCTGGAGATGGAGGATTTTTTTGTCGGTCTATATCCATCTCCTCCCAGCTGTCAGGACTCTCCATGTCATCCTAAAGGAGGTAAAGTGTGATGTTAGGATGGCATTGGAACATCCTAATGTCTTTACGGAACACATACTGAATAACAGAATACCTCACAACTGTCCCAGCTTTGTCTCCTGCTACCCTATAGTAAAAATGTATTAGTAGACTGTACCTTTGTACATTCTTTTGCTATAAACAACCAGAGTCAAATTATAAAAAGGGTTTCTTTTAACCAGTAGCATACTAACATAGTAAGCACATACAGAATTGTTTTAACGTGTACTTTCAAAAATAGACTCCATCCCCCCCCACAATTGAAGCCCTTAATGGCTAAAGTACTGAGTGTGTCAAAGACATTACAATGTCCTTGCACATGAAATTCACAATTTTAAATCGCATGCACCTGCTGCACTAGTATAGCCAAGGGTTAGTATCGATTCCCAGAGTAATGTCAACAAAAGAAGGTGGTGGGTTCAAAATTACAGTAAATTAAATGGTCCCCTAAAATCAGATTTCAAATAATAAAAATAACAAAAAGCAAAAATAACTTCTATAAAAAAACTGTAATCTGAATTACATTACAACTTTAAAGGATTACAAACTTATTTTATTTTCACTTTTCAATAATAAAAAAAAAAAAGCATTACAAAAATGTATTATTTGTTTTAGTACTTTATTAAGAGATTTGTACAAATTTTAATTTTCATTTCAAATCAAACAGAATCTGAAAATCACTGCACTAGAAAATAAAGTGATTATGAAATTCTGATTTTCATTTTTAACATATAATTTTATTTTTTTCCTCTTGTCCTTGGCACCATTTCTAAAGCAGCTTGCAGCATCCCTAAAAGCATGCAAGATTAAGGGGGAAAGTAGGGGGGGGATAGCGGGGGACAAGTAACACTTTAATCAGACCTCCTGCATAAGTCCTCAGACCTCAACATCTTCCACAGATTGAGCACTTTTGAAAAACACTAGTTACTGGATTGCTTCATAGATTAAATTTTCCTGGCAGAAAGGAACTGATTCATAGAACGAGAGAGAAATTTTAAGGGAGGTCCTATGTCCTATTGAAGAGGCTGCGAAAGGAATATGGACGTAAAAATTAAATTCTCTCACCTTCTGGACCAACTTGAATAAATTGCTACTTCCACATATGAATATGCAATTAAGCTACAACACACAAGTCTAAGAAAAATACATCTAGAATTACAGGTTGTGAATACTTTGAGTGAGGATTTTGAATCGGATTCCTCTGACGTCGGGTGCGTGCACACATCAAAAAATACCTCTAGTCATCAATGATCTTTAAGTTTGTGTTAATGACTCCATGTTACAGAGAATGTCAAACGGGGAGGGGAGGGCTGTAGAAAAAAAGATAGCCCTAACATTTATCCAGCAATTACAAACAAGTTTAATTTCCTTCTTGGGAAGGCAGCTTGACTGTTGAGTAATCACAGTTCTCAAATACAGACAGACTTTGCAGGAAGGAGGAACACAAACACCAGTCCTAAAAGCAAGGTGTGGGAAACTCTGTGCCTTTATCACAAGGTGATCGGCCCTCCTCTTGTCCATTCATTTATGAAAAAGCAGAGGAAGATCGACCAACTCCAGCGATTTCTGAGCCTTTGGCTCAATATATGACTCATTAACGTGTATCTGAGGAACACAACTGCCATACTGCGTATTAAACAGGTTAAGGTAAACAGACATAAAGGTTCTTTAATTTCACATTGGTTCTACAAGTATTTAGTCATAAAGTAGGGCAATTTAATTGTAGAATTGTTAAAGAAATAAAGGTGCTTGTATTGTAAAGTTTATACAGTGATGCACAAATGAAGTACTTGAGGATCAAGGAGTGAAATAGAATTTTCCCCATATCCAACACTGAGACAGTGCATTAATAGCCAAGCCTGTCAGGAATTTGTTGGACATACTTGTGCATCAGTGTAAAAATTATATTAAAACCAAAAGCCCCTTGTAAAAGAAAAACAAAAAAACAAAATTATGGTGTAAGTAGGGTGATTTTTCATATGACTGAATGTACAAAAAGAAGGAGTTTCTCAAAGTTTTCTTTAGATTTATAGGACACAGTCACCAGAAGAAAAAATTATGATGACTCAAGACATTATGAATGGGATGGCAAACCAATTTATTTCCGCTCTTTCTTCTTTTCCTACAGCAAAAAAAAAGAAAAAGAACAAAGTCATGGTGGATGGTCTTAATAGTCAAAACAACAGAAGACTAATATAACAGAAATAATTTAATGACCACATGGTTAGTCCCCTATATGTAGCCTGTGCAGTACTTAATCTGTTCAGCTCTGCCTAGATTATCAGAAGATCCCTGCTAGCTGCAATCACACACACACACATAACCCCAAGCTCAATGGTCCTGATATATACTACACCTTTGTATACCTAAGCATTGTATGACATTTTTCCAGTTTTTAAGTCAGAGAAAGACAATTTTGCTATGGGTCTGTTTCATTATTCTTTGTACTCCATTTGCACTAAGATTGTTGAATATTTTAGGCCAGAAAAATGGACTGTGCAAAGTGATTTATCTATATTTATCTATTTAATATTAGAGACTGACATGTTACTTGTTGTAACCATCTGTAAAATCTACTCACTTGAGACCATGGGACTAGTGGTAATTTTTGCAATGTTTATGTTGTGGTGATACCATATTAAGTTATTAAAATGAAATACATAACAAAAGAAATCCATAGTGCATGTGGAAAAAAAATTCAGACATCATATATCTGAAAAGACTATACATCTATTAAGCTGAAAATACATACCTTCTCATTCATAGCCAGAATTAACATGAGCTTCCTAAAAATGGTGATGAAGTCCAGAAACAGGTCAACACAGTGCCTATAAGCAAAATAGCCGGCATGTTAACATTTATATGTGTGGCAGACAGAGTCAAACTCGTGCTTGATCAAGATCAATTTAAAAAGCAGAAGGACTGGCCTTTACTTGCGTAGAAATGTGCAATCATTCAAGTCACCCAATTATTATGAAGAGACAAAAAAATAAAATAAAATAATAATTAAAAAAATCCAACAAAATTAAACACCCCAAAAATAAAACATATAACCCACTACACTGGTTTGACTATTTTCTTAGGCTATCCCTGGGACATCTGTAAATATACAGATGTTTAAAATATTTTGACTGGTTCCACCAAGGGGAAAAAAAGGCTTAATGTATGGTGTTTAAAGGTGCAGCAAATGTGTTTACAAGGGCAGGAGAAGACCAAATGAAACCCTAATTCATACACAATATATTGATTTAAATCTTGACAGAGGGTCTAATGGTCCTGCTTTCCTTCTGTATTATGATCCCCATCCTAAACTGTCCTTGTGGCATCAAGTAGAGATTTTGGAATATTCTTGACATCCCTATATTAGTCATCTCAAGTGTTTCCATTTTTACAAAAGGAGAGCACCTGCAGCATTTACCTCTCAGGATCCCAGGCACAATGAGGGCAACATTTCAATTATTCATCAATAATTCTGGAGTATTAGTCCAGACTTTAATAGGCATGAGTAAGATTTCATGTTGCGGTTGTATGGCAGCCACTTTGCCAGAGGTGGACATACTCTATTTAACCCAGACTGATGTAGGTCACCTCTAAGCAACTGGTGGCTGGTTGTAAAATCTCTCTCAAACTTGTCACTCAGCATCAGAAAAGTAGCAGCCCAAGCAGCCAATATGAACAAGATGCTGCCAGATCAAACTTAGACACACCGAAACAAAAAATGCAAATGCATTTTGTGTAAATATGGTTGACAATAAAACAATCAAAAATGCATTGTTTACTTCTTACATACTGTACACTTATGCTACATAGGATAAAGGACATAAAAAACAAAACAAAAAAAAACATCATTAGAGTCATTGCTCACCACACATAATCCTTGTCCCCGTGTTCTGCCTTCTCAATGATAAGCTGAGTGTCAAACAAGACAAAGCCACACATGACCAGTAAACCAATGTACATGTGCATCTGGAACAGAAACAAGGAGTTTGAGGTTAATGGTCAATCTAGTCACTACATGGATAAAGTATAACTTAAGACTTGCCTACAACAAGTAGAGTACTACGCAAAGAAGTGCAATGCAAATGAGGACATGGATGCATTTTAAAGGAGACGTATTACACGTAGCTAAAAATCATCTGCACAACAAACACAAACTATTCATCTCTATGGATTTCATGTACAGTGGGATGAACTAAATGTGTTTGGAACATCAGGTGTTAAAAAACCTGTGCAATCAATTAATTAAATAGCACTAAAAAGGTTTGTATTGCCAATTGTTACCTTTACACTAAACAAAACAAACTTTAGACATTTAAATTGGTACATCTCCCGTGGTACAACAATAATAATAAAAAAAAAAAAGTGTCAGATTTATTTGCACCACAAAAAAACACAAAAAAACAAACAAACAAACAAACAAACAAACAAACAAACAAACAAACAAACAAACACACCACAAACACAAGGTGCTATGAGATGCCATCTGTGTTCTTTCGGCACATTTTCAAATGATTAGCTTTGAATAGGCAGATATAATCTTTTAATTGATTATCTCTAAAAGCAGTCTCAGTTTGTTTTTGCACAGAACTTACTTTGAAAAGCAGAACTGAGCCAACAAAAAAATTCACCAATGATGAGAGAACAAGCAGGCTCAATGCAGACAAAAGGATACCTAAAGTAAGAAAAGCACAGAGCATTAAAAACCAAACAGAGCAAAGAAAATATAGACTAGGCAGGTTCAATTCTTGGCAACACTTACCTCCCAGGAACAAGAAACTACGGCGCTGTGCATACAAAGCACTGAGTGAAAAGCATATGAATATAACAGCAGTGCCCAGGAAAGCAGTTGGAATAATGCTGTAAGGAAACATAAGAGTGGTACAGAAGGTAAAAACTAAATGGCAGATGAAAGCATAAAGAAAACTTGGCTAGATGGGTTAGACCATGCACTCAATATTCCAAGTTAGATATTTACAACATGAAATTACAGGCACAACCTTCACCTTTTCTAATACTCTGTGACAGATGCATTCCTCATACCTGTACAACAAACCGATACACAGGAAAACACTCACTGTTCCCCACCATATTATGTAAGAAAACATAAAAATATGTAAAACCACTTAACACTCAAAGGGACACTACAGTCACCAGCTTAATATAGTTGTTCTGGTGAGTATAGCCGGTCCCTGCAGGCTTTTGCTGTAAACACTGTCTTTTCAGAAATAAAATGCGGTGTTTACATTACTGCCGAGTAACACCTCCAGTGACAGTCACTCAGATGGCAACTTCCTTGGTCAGTGCTGCACAACATGTATCACTAACATTCAGCATATCCATGCTCATACATATTTGTGCTCCTGAGCCTATAGTGTTCCTTTATAGCTTTGTGGACTTTTAAATTTTTTTAAGATGTTGCTTATTTGCACAATGTGAATAGCTATACCAGGATAGCATCACTAATACTACTAAATATTTTGTCATGCTTGTCCATTTGAAATTGATACATCACCTAAGCAAACAGACTGAAAATCCTCTATAATTTTGTAAGAACAGCCTACAACAAAAATGTTTTAACATTTTCCTCAGAAAAAAAAATTCTACCTACATAGAAAGTCTTTTCAAATTGGTAAATCCCATAAAAGGCTGGATTGGCCATTGTTTGGTTTTCTGCAAAGACCTAACACGCTGTACAGACACTCCTCACTTACCGACCGGGTTCCGTTCCTACGACCCGGTCGTAGAACGAATTGGTTGGTACGTAAGGAGTTAAGGGATTCCCTGCTCTGGTGTGTTAGTCTATATTCGGGGAAGTTTTCCCAAACATACACATGCGCACCAAAGCAGGGAATCCCCACGACGGCCTGGTCGTAAGTGTGAGCCATCGTAAAACAGGTAGGTCAGTAAATGAGGGCCACCTGTATACTATATTAACAGATTTGAATTGTTTTAACATATACAAACTGTATGGTTAGAAAAGAGGCATATACACATACCTAGGATTTATGGCAATGCATAAATTCAAAACGGGACCCAAACCAACACCTAGAATTTAGAAGGAAACACAGCATTATGAGAACATTTATTTTGTTTCTATGCAAGTACAATAAAAATAAATTTAAGTTTACAAAAAAACAAAAACAAACCAAAAAAAAATATAAACACGCAAAACGCTTTTTATAAGAGTCATTTCAAATTATCATGTTTTGTATTATAAACACCCAACTTACCTGCATCTACAGGAACAGTTAAAGGATCACTATAGTGTCTGGAAAACAAAGCGGTTTTCCTGACACTATAGTGCCCTGAGGGTGCCCCCACCCGTGGCGCTGAAGGGGTTAATATATATACACGTCATTCTAAATGTATTTTTAACTTAATATATATGTATATTAATATCAAAATAGTTAGAACAAACTAGAACTGGTATATACATTTTTTTATTTATTAATTTTTATTATTTTATGATTTCATTTTTTTTTAACGTCATTCTAAATGTATTTTAATATTATTAAAATACACTTGTATTAATGATGGATGTATGTGTATATAAAAGTACTTGGAGAGATATATATAAAACTTTCATAAACTTTTTTACAGGCATGAAGGGGACTGCAGGCACTGCATAAGCCAGCTATTCCGGCCATGTGTTCGCGAGGACCCCGCGATCACATGGCTGGATCGGGCAGAGGGGGTCTACCTGAGCTCCCAGGCAGATCCAAGGATCATGACCGTTGTCGGAGGAACGGCGGAGACCCAGTAAGTACAAAGGACGGTGAGGATGTACTACGCAGCCCGCCCCCCGGCATTTAGGACCAAAAAAAAAAAAAAAGGACGGCATAGAACGCCCACCGACCTTAAAGAAGCACTATAGGCACCCAGACCACTTCAGCTTAATGAAGTGGTCTGGATGCCAGGTCCAGCTGGGTTTAACCCTTTTTGCTGTAAACTGCTATGTTTACCTATGGGTTAATCCAGCCTCTAGTGGCTGTCTCATTGACAGTCGCTAGAGGCGCTTCTCACTGTGATTTTCACAGTGAGAAGACGCCAGCGTCCATAGGACCCTGGCACTGGAAAAAAGGTAAAGGATTAACCCCTTCAGCACCACGGGAGTTGGACCGTGAGGGTGTGGGCACCCTGAGGGCACTCTAGTGCCAGGAAAACGAGTTTTCTTGGCACTATAGTGGTCCTTTAAGGGGTTAAAGAAGAACATTCCTTGATGTGTCTGGAATGAACTGGACTGTGATGTAATTTCCTAGATCTTTAACATTTGAAAAGAAAACAGAGCATCATATGAAGTTACAGGTAATTTTTAATGTTTTATTGAATTGTCTAAATTCCAGAAGTGACAGTTCCCCTTTTAACCCTTAGAGTGGGTCTTTTATTAGAATATTTATGACAAATTAAAGAAGAATGCCAATTTGTCTTAAGATTCCACGAGCGCTATCATTTAAGTGAGCCTCAAACGGGAGCAGTCCCTATCTAACCTAAGATCACTATGATTTGCACAGCAGCATTTTCAACAGTTTATGCACACTCAACAACGACAGCCAATTTCATCACAATAAGAATGCACTGCCAGGGAGAGGCGAGTGCTTGCAAGCAAGGACCTCCTAAAAGGCAGTAAAATGTAGGTGGAATATTTAAGTTACAACTCAGGGTAAAATGATGCATTATGTGTCCCTTATTCCTATGTGTCAGATAAGCAGAGGAAGCAAGTAGATTTTTACATTAGCCCAAAAAAGCTAAATGCATCTCATATGGTATTATGGTTTAGTTGACATCCAAGATCAGACACAAACGCTAGTTCTGTAGAAATGCAGCAAGCTCAAGCTTTGTAATTTAGGTGAAGGATAATGCTCACCAGAAAAGAATGCAAATCCAGCAAGGATTCCCAGGCGTTTTTTCTCTGTCTCATAGCTGTGAGGGGTACACATGAGCCATATCATCATACCCAATGAGCCTGCAAAGGATAAGAAGCTGCCCTGTAGGAAAGGATATAAAAGAGATTATGTCTTTGCCAATTCTGACAATCTACATAAACTTTATTCTGCCTTCTAAACATTAGTTATATCTTTCAAGCTCAACTTGAAATGGCATTTTCATGTGGCCTTACCGCCCAATTGTGGTTTCTTAATTTATTAGACAATATAATAAACAAACTCATCAATTCTCAGGTTTTTTACAAAGGACTGATCAGCCTCCGGGAAAATTTTAATAACCTGCTGTCCCATAATTTTCTAGGGGAAACTTGTGACTGAGACACACATTATGTCGCCACCAATTCTCTAGCCTGATCAGTGGTCAGCTAAAAATATACAATCAGCTGGCAACACCATTTTAGAGAGAGTCAGTAATAACAGGCTCGTTTTAATAGCTACTAAAGCAACATATACATCCATTATCACAAAGATAAGATATATAGATTTGACTTAGGAACAATTAGTCCACGCAGTGATGCTCACTGCACCATTGAGGACCCACCACAAAACTCTTTTTTCCTGCCACCTGCTTGTTGTCATAAAGCATGGCAACCCTTCTTTATGACTTCAATAAAAACACTGCATTAAAATGGAGCAATAGCAAAGTGTGCTGCCAGAGGAATGTCACGCCTCTGCAGTGCCTGCACAGTAGCTGCTGTAACAGAGCAGAAGAACTGCCTGTAGGAGGTTTTTTTTTTTTTTTTTTAAATCACCTTTGTCACTCAGTTGTTGGCATTAAGGTCTATACGGACAACTGCTAGGTGAGGGAAGGGTGCATATTATTAAAAAGAAAAGAAACAGTAAATAATACACTTAATGGCAATTCTGCTATGTGTGCTTTTATTTTAGTGAAAGCGGTGTACCCTAACCTTTGCTTATCAAAAAAGCAAAAGCTAAACGGTTGGTTTAGAATACCTTTTGACCATTTTTTAAAATGGATTAGAAGTAGAGATGGGAAATAATAAATAAGTAAAAAGGTCTTTGAAAATGTCCCTTGGTAAACTGGTTAGTAAGCCTGCCTGCAGCAGCAAGCATTCTTGTCTAAGGAGATAGATCTTGCCCCATAATCCTCAGTCTAGCAGAGAACTATGTTATAAGTAGTTTTCCCCAAATCTAAAAAGTTGTGGACCACACTTACGCAGACTAAGACTTGGCTCTGTTTGAGGAGGAGAAACCATGTGTGGGATAAGCATAGGCCATCTTAAACTTAAGATAAGTTCAGGGACTAAGGAAAGTATTTCGAAAATTGGGCAGACTAGATGGGCCGAATGGTTCTGATCTGCCGTCACATTCCATGTTTCTAGATCCTTTCCTATTTGCGTGCAATGTTTACAAGCTACATGCACAATCCTGAGAGTAGGTTATAATATCCCTGATTTGTATATGTCTAAAGACTGTCAACGAGGAAGCCCAGGACTCTTGGTTCTGAGTTGCCTGTGTCCATTGGCACCAAATTCACAAAGGCAACCAAGAGCTCTGAGCTTCCTGACTGACAGTCCTAGCCTTATACAAATCAGGGCTATTATAACCTACTCTCAGGATACAGAGAGGAATGACAATTATTTAAGCACCATGTATTTTGCAAGGATACAATGTGATAACAGTATTTAGACTAACCTATAAAAAAAAAAAAAAAAAATTAATTTTACTTTTAAGTAAAACTCAGACCAAACTCCTGCTCCCATTATGAGGGCAGTAGTCCCTGGTCACCTTCTTACCGTACTGGGTTAAATCATTTTCAAATAGTTTATCGTGGAAGGTACATACCCGGGTGCTGATTTGTACAGTTACCATTGTCCTCTTGGTCACCACACTAATTTGGAAGGTTTGGCTTGGGCACACGTGGTACATACTGTTGCTCAAAATGGGCAGCCAGATATAGGCTAAGAACATCAGTTGACACTCTCAACCGAATACCAGCACCCAAGCCAATAATCCTGATTAGTGCAGCGACTAGGAAGAGGACAGGGGAAGCAGTGAAACAGGGTGCCAGGACACAAGTTTGGTGTTAAACCAATCAAAAGGTTAACCGGTAAGGTAAGAAAATCCAGAGACCCCAGCCCTCATAGACTTCATTAAAATGAAATTATGGGGTGGAGTGGCACTTTAAGGCCTATTGCTTTAGGCATATCTTAACTTTGTTAGGAAAGAAGCAAAAAAATACTAGACCTCGTAAACCGATGATAAACATTCTATTTTTATATATTCAGAGTAGGGTAATTTCACCTAATTCTAGAAGAACACTATAGGGTCAAGAATACAAATGTGTATTCCTGACCCTACAGTGTTAAACTATTTAGGTGGCTGCCCCACTCCTTTTTTCCCCTTACTTACCCATATTATAATGTGGAACGGTTCTGCCGGCACTGGCCCCGTCCCTGATCCGCCTCCCTAGCTAGCATCATCAGAATTGATCTCAGCCAATCAACCTCTGGCCAATCAGCATCTCCTCATAGAGATGTATTGAATTAATGCATTTCTATGGGGAAAGTTCAGCATTTCCATGCAGAGTGTGGAGATACTGAACGGCACCTCCAGTAGCCATCTGAGGAGAGGCCACTGGAGGTGTCCATAGGCTGTAATGTAAACACTGCTTTTTCTCTGACATAGCAGTGTTTACATTAAAAAGCCTGCAGGGACTGACTATACTCACCAGAAAAACTACATTAAGCTGTACTTGTTCTGGTGACCATAGTGTTCCTTGAAGACCAGTATTTTTCCATCCATGACAGACTAAAAGACAAAACAGCTGCATACTGAAATAAAATGTCAGTGTGTGATTATACCCATCTCATAATAGTGCCAATTGTTGATTTTTGGCTGCTCACCTGTAAGAGTCTGAGCACAACATTTACGTAGGCACCGGCAGCTGCCACCAGCATGCAGATTGCAAAGCTAGAGTACACTCTCTTCAAGTGCTGCTGTGTAGATTGTGAGCTGAAAAACAAGGAACAGACAGTGATTCTGGTGTTATGAACATGACATTGATGGCTAACCAATAGAAGAGCAATTCTGTGTCTGTAACAGGTTTAGACAATTACACCTGCAAGCAAACAATAGGGACAATATCATAAGAGATAAGTTTTATATATAAACATTACAACAAAGAGTAGAAGGATAAAGAAATACTAGTGGAAAGAACGTAGACTTTAAAAATGCCATTTTGCCTGCTTATGTCTGCTGCAGATAGAGTTTAATTTGAAATTGATTGTTCAAGAATAATAATAAAACACACGCATATATCCACATTTCCTCATATGTGCGGACCAAGCAGAAACATTGATCAATTAGCAAATGAAAACAAAAAATTTCTATTCAATAATAAATAATTTAACAAGTCAACGGACAGCAGTGTTTTAAGACCGAGAACTGAGAGTTCAAATAGCCATGTTCAAGCCAAGTGGACATGATTTTCTCTAGATTTCCACTATTCAAAGACTACTACAATTGTCTGAATAGGACCCATAGGGAAAAAAATAAATAGAGATAATTAAAATGGACACCCAGCTCCTGGTCAGAAACCAAAATAGAATAAAGAGGAAAAGGAATGTAAGGAATCACTGAGAGTGTATATGCAGAGACACAGTTATGAAACCAGTTCTACAAATGAAAGATTTCCTATGCATATTGTATCAAGAATATACTGCGCGTGTGTGTATATATACACACACACACATTATATATATATATATATATACACACACACACACACACACACACACACACACACACACATACATCTCAACAGGAATATAAACTGGGATTAATGAGTGATGCACAAAAAGTATATGTTTTCAACAGCAGATTTAGTTTATGTTTAACTGTATTAACACACCAAGGTGAATCAGACGGAGAACAGACCGATCTTCTGAGAAGTCATATTTTATTACCATACTCAGAGATCAGAAAACTGAATCATCACAAAGAGACTGTCAACATGGGAACACATTATATACAGCACTGGAAGGGTGTGACTAAACCTAAAAAAATTAAAATAAATCATAGGAGGGCAGCTAAATGTTTGGATAAACTAAAAATGGGTTCATCTGGTAAGCCATTACATGATTTCAGATCTTACAATTAAATTGTAAAAAATTTACAATTACAATAGTACTTCTCATTTATTTTTACAAAGGAAAAAAAGTGGCATGCTTCAAATGTCACAGGTTAATAAGATAATTGTGCCAAATTGGTAAGACATAAAATAGAAAAGAAACACTCACATGTGAGAGAACTTTAGAAGAGCATTAAAGTTGATATTCCGATCAAGAAAATCCATTTTGGAGAACTCTTCTTAGTTTTGCCGTCAAGGAGTGGTCCAAGAATCTGCTGAGAAAGAGGAAAGAGTGATTATACAGCTGGTATTTATTTTAACCAGACACTGGTGTTCTGGAGATTGTTTGTACATAGTACCAACAAGTACTGAAGATTTGTTATCAACTACATTGAGAATAAAATGTCAACCAACCCTTATTTTGTTTAGATCCAAAATGCCAAGTTTTATGGTAGAAATAAAAAATCTGCAAAAGCTGTAAAATGATCTTCTAAATCAGGACTTGGTTCAAAGATCTAATAACAGGCACCTCACTGCTACAAGTATCACTGTAGAATGATGATTCTCAAGCTTTACTGGGGTTACAAGCGGACTTTGTCATCCCCTGGGACACCCTGATATAGATGGTGCAATTATTGCAGGCTCTTGCAAGGAAATCACAGGCTTTAGTGTTTTCCACAGAGACACGCACTGTGATCTCAGTACGTGGAGTCCCGCCTCTTGAGTCATTAACACCTTTAATGATTCCCCCCCTGGTAACACTAGTGATTATAGATATAGAAGTTCAGGAATGATAAATCTGTGCCGCAAACATATTTACCTTACTCTACCTTAAAATTTATGACATACCATTAGCTGTAAAGAAATTAAAAGTACAATACTTGTTTGACTAACCAGACTATATCAAGGGAGCTTGAAAGAAGGAAGGAGAGAAAAAAAAAAAACCCACAACAAAACCTTTCAATTAAGAGTGCAGAAATCGCTTTGGCTGTGTGCTAGTGACATCTATGTGTTTAGGGTGATCTACCAATAAATCAAAGGGTCACTAGACGCAGAATGCTATTCAGTTGTCACAAGAGTCAACCAAACAGCAGCCAAATAAAAGCACACTGCAACAAAAACAGAGAATAGGATAATGGACAGAAGGTTAGAAAAACTCAGTAGCGTGCTCTTCAGTTGGTCCCTGCTCAGGTCTAAAAAATGTTTTTGCTCACTTGTGCCATTACAAAGAGAACCTATACCAATTGTACATCAGACTTGTCCCATCACATACGGGCAGCCCAGAACCAAAGTGCTGGCAAGTCCTCTTTGCAGAAGTGATACCCCATAATCGGCCTTCTTTGGGCATTATCAGAGAGGTGTAGTGGATAACCCTTTAGGCACAGAGAAGAGCAATTTAATGTTGCATTTTTCTGAATAGCTAGGTTAAATGAAAAGTGTCAAAATGCAGATTGCTATACACCCTAGGACAAGCTTCTCGAACGCTGGCCCCACAGATGTTGCTGAATAAAAAACGTCCATTATATGGTCATCTACTGCACACAAAAGGATTCTCGTAGCCAATCAACACCAATACCTTGATGGAGGATCTATGGTCTACAATATATCTATGGTCTACTATATACTTTTCTGTAGCAAATTTTGGATAACGTAACTGCTATAGTTTTTAACAAAACAATTGTACAAATTTTTGCCTTTCAAGCCATAATTCACCACTTCAAATATTAACCCCATAACATTTGTTTGCTGCACTAGTTGAAAAGAAATAACAAGCAAACCTATGAGAAATGTTATTTACATACAAGTTTGTGCTATGCATACATATAGGGCATCAAGAAAAAGCCTCATCTGCCTAATTATATTTATATATTGAATGAAAGCACTTTAAGAGAAAGCATTAAATTACAGTGGAACACACAACGCAAACATGTCTATGCCTTAGACACAAACGTAAAGAATTTCAGAAAAGGCTCAGTCATGAAAGGGTTAAGATAGATCGAGAGAAAGAATGTAGAAAAATACCGACACTCCTGGATTTGTAGATATTATAATTCTTTATTGTCACAAGTAGTCAACGTTTCAGTTCCTACCTTGGTGTCCTGATGCAAGTACCAAGGTAGGAACTGAAACGTTGACTACGCGTGACAATAAAGAATTATCTACAAATCCAGGTGTGCCGGTATTTTTCTACATACAAGTATGACTTGGCACCCGGTATCATTTGGCTGGAGGTAGGAGTGCAAAAGCTTGAGATATATATTCATCACAATGTTAAACACAAATACACACACCAGGCAGGCCATAAGACTTGCTTTTAACACAGAAATCTCACTTTAACAGTGCTCTCACTACTGCAAGGGATTCTGGGTAGGCATTTATTATATTTGCCTCATAATTCCACGGAGTATGTGTCTGCTGTATACAACAGCTTTGAAACAAAACTCAGGAAGAGGAGCAAAGCCAGTGAACCACGCATGGACACCTCTTCCTGAGTTGTGTTTCAAAATTGTTGTATGCAGCAGACACATACTCCAAGGAATTCATGTATAAAGTGGAATTAGGAGGCAAAAAAATATATTTTTTTTAACCAAAGTTTGTTTTTTACTTAAGGGCAAGTATAACAATGCATACAAATATAGGCAATTGTATACAATTATACATCAATTAAAGAAAGAAAAAAAAAAACAGATACAAAGATGAGTAACATCATTGCAAGAAAAAGGATTATGAAACTGCTTACATAATAGTAGCAAATCTTTAACTATAGCCTCAGTGAACAGGAATGAGAGGACCTTGTGCATCCACTGATTGAGATTGAAACTGCTGCAGTGGACCCCACATTCGAATGTGTGTGAGTGATAGGCTCAGATAACCTAGGCTACAGATGTAGAGCTGAACCAAATCTTTTCCACTTTATCTTTCTGGGACTTGGCCATTTCATAAGCGCAATTGCTATAGTGTTGTGTGAGCAGCTCCTACAAAGTAGGGATTACTTGACCCTTCCGTTTAAGAGCCATAAGACTCTTAGCTGCTAGGATATTATGGATAGTTACGACTCTATGGGGAAAAGAAATAGTAGAAGGAAGCTATACAGAAATATTGCCACAAAGGCAGGTTCAACTTGCATAGGGAGTTAATCAGTTTCCAAACCAGTGAACAAAAAACACCCCAAAGGCTGGAACAGTCACACCAAATATGAAATTAGAGCATTAACGTTTTATGGGTATATATTAGGGACGCCGATAATCTGTGAACTTTCAGGCAGATAACTTACCGATGCTCAGTTTATCTTTAATCTACTGTTAACTGAACATGTTTATTATGTTTGCAAAAAATTTTTATTAAGGTAAATGCACAAAATATACATGCCAGTCATGTTTTTAAGAATACATGTGTGTGTAGTGGATGTGAGAGTGAGAGTATTTGATTAGTGAAGGCAGTGTGTGTTTGTTCAGCGTGTATATAGTGAAGGCAGTGTGTGTTTGTTCAGCGTGTATATAGTGAAGGCAGTGTGTGTTTGTTCAGCGTGTATATAGTGAAGGCAGTGTTTGTTTGTTCAGCGTGTATATAGTGAATGTAGTGTGTTTGTTCAGCGTGTATATAGTGAATGCAGTGTGTGTTTGTTCAGCGTGTATATAGTGAATGTAGTGTGTTTGTTCAGCGTGTATATAGTGAATGCAGTGTGTGTTTGTTCAGCGTGTATACAGTGAATGCGGTGTGTGTTTGTTCAGCGTGTATATAGTGAATGCAGTGTGTTTGTTCAGCGTGTATATAGTGAATGTAGTGTGTTTGTTCAGCGTGTATATAGTGAATGCGGTGTGTGTTTGTTCAGCGTGTATATAGTGAATGCAGTGTGTGTTTGTTCAGCGTGTATATAGTGAATGCAGTGTGTTTGTTCAGCGTGTATATAGTGAATGCAGTGTGTTTGTTCAGCGTGTATATAGTGAATGCAGTGTGTTTGTTCAGCGTGTATATAGTGAATGCAGTGTGTGTTTGTTCAGCGTGTATATAGTGAATGCAGTGTGTGTTTGTTCAGCGTGTATATAGTGAATGCAGTGTGTTTGTTCAGCGTGTATATAGTGGATGCAGTGTGTTTGTTTAGCGTGTATATAGTGAATGCAGTGTGTGTATATAGTTAATGCAGTGTTTGTTTGTTTATTGTGTATATAATGAATGCAGTGTGAGTGTGTGTTTGTGTAGGTATGTAATGTGTGTAAAATGGGGGATTTATATATTTTTATTTTTTTTACATTTAGTTTTAGTCCCCCCCCCCCTCCCTGCTTCTTACCTGGCCAGGGAGGGAGGGAGGGATATGGCAGTCCCTGGTGATCCGGTGGCATGGACTCTGCAAAGGGGGCCCAGCAACACTCTTACTTCCGTTCCCAGCAGCTCTCCATCCAACTCTCGCGCCATGCGTGCTGTGCAGATCATTGCCATGGTAACCCGTGGCAACGCTCTGACAGCCATGGGACTCGCAAGATTTAGACAGGGGAGTTGAAGGGAGCTACTGGGAAGGCAAGCAAGAGTGTGCTGCGGGCCCCCCAGCCCGGTTGTCATGCCCTGATGCGGCCCTAGTCTGCATTATCGGTATCTTTATAGGCCGATACTGCTGAAAATTCAGAATATTGGTTGATAATATCGGCCAGACCGATAATAGGTCGAACCTTAGTATATATGATGGTCTTCTAATTGGTACATTTAAAGTAACACTATTGTGTCAAGAACATAAACGTGTATTCCTGACCCTATAATGTTAAAACCACCATTTGGGTGGCTTGCCCCCCTTAAAAAAAAAAAAAAGAATAAAACTTACCTTATTTCCAGTAGCAGGCCCTGCCCCGATCCACCTCCTTGCTGACACCAGAATTTATGTTTTTTAGCCAATCCATTGGATTGGCTGAAATCAGCAAGGAGGCCCGGCCAAATGTCAGAATCTCCTCACAGAGATGCATTGAATCAATGCATCTCTATGAGGAAAATTCATTGTCTCCATGCAGTGCGTTGAGACGCTGAACGGCAGTCCCAGGAAGCACCTCCAGTGGCCAGCTGAAGAGTGAAAATGCCTGCATGGAATGATTACACTCACCAGAGCAACTACATTAAGCTGTAGTTGTTCTGATGACTATATAGTGTCCCTTTAAAATATCGTTTAATCCATTAAGCAGGTTGATCCACTCAACACCTGTATTTTATTGTTAAATACATAAAAGACTAGAAGTATTAAACAGCCTTTAATGATAAACAAAACTAAAATGAAAGGGGGGAGAGATAAAACATGATAATACACTTTTTTTTTAATTTTTTGTATTTTTTTTACACAAGCAAGAGTGCAGTACCACTTGGCCACAAATTTATATTGGGATTGCGGCCTGGATAAGCTGAATGAACCATGTTCCCATGGGGTTAAGGGAAAATGTGCAAATCCAAGACTAGAAATTGATGAGAAAGATGGACAGATCCACACAGAAAATATTGAATATAGTCATGCTGTTCTATGCAATAGTGGATCGAATTTCCAGCTAAACTTGATTGTGCAGCTGCAAGCTCTTACCATATTGAAAGAACACTCCAAGCACCATAACCATTACAGTGTGCTAGACTTTTGCATTTCATCCAATAAAGTTCAGTAATCCCCCATTATAAAAAACAACTACGTAGCTGTATCTATTCCACAGTAAAACTGAAATTATTTGACAGCATTTCATCATGTTGACTTACCCTAGCTGGATAAGCAATTTACAAACTCATAGCAGGAAGTAATTTAATTTCAGTCCTATAGTATATTTGCCTGGCATTAACAATACATTTTAGACAGGCCTCATCACCACAAACAGAATATCACATATACACACACACAATAATATTGTGTGCAAAGTTGAGATTTCTGTAAAAAAAACAAGTCTTATGGCTTGACTGGTGTGCAGATCTGTGTTTAACAATGTAGTGTGTGAAAATAAATTGTCAGAGAATGTGTATGCCCAACTGCGTTTGATTGCAACATATATACACAATCACTAAGGCTCCCTTACAGGCTGCTTTTCAGTTAATTCTGACCCTTGCTCATTTTTGATATGGTCAAGTGAGTTGCAGAGGAGAGCTCAGTGTCTGGTACTAATAATAATAAAAACAAAGTAAGCACAGATGTCACGTGATGTAATTTACCAACTGGAATCCAGGCCTTTTAGGTTCAGTGAACTCTGTGGTGGTATACGTGCTCACTGAACCCAATGTAAAAAGCAGAGCAAGGGATCACGCTACATACAGATAATGCATCTTTTAAAGTCAATGACCAACATACAGCAAGAGATAAAAATAATATAAAAGGTATATATGGTGCATAAACAATTTCTGATAACTGCAATTTTAATCATCAATCTTTACTGACATCAAAGTAATACAATCGCTAAAAACATTCCACTATTTTTTCTTTAGAAGAACAAGCAGATGGTAAAATATAGCAGATGTTGGATGATCCCTGCATTTGAAAAGGCTGGCAAGATTTAAAGACACCCAGAGGAAAGGTGTTAAAATAACGAAAAACACAGAGTCACTTAAAGAGACACCTTTAGCTTAGCGCAGTGGTTTTACTGTATAGATTATAACCCTGCAGTGTCAAGGCTCAAGCCTTTGCCATTTAGGAGTTAAAACTATTTGTTTATGCAGCCCAAGTCACACCTCTAGCTGAGACTCACACAGCCTCCCTAAACACTTTCTGAAAAAAAAGAGTGTCACATCACAGCATGTTTAAAAGACTACTCCAACCAAAAAAAGTTTTACTATATTGTGATACAATACCAGCTAGCAAATCATAACCACCTTCCCCTATTTTTATTTTTTTGTCTAAGCATTTTCTATTATTGTGAATGATGATTAGAGCACCCTGAGCCCACTCTTATATCCAAAATAGATTAAAACGACAATAAATTGCAAAAAAAATAAATAAAATAAAAAATTAGCTACCACTATAAGAAGGCTTACCAGAGCCATCCGCAAACTTTGTTCATGAAGTGTGCATACCACAGAAGATACTAAAGCAGAGCCCTCAATTCCTAACACAACACAAATGTATTCCTAACACTATAGTTTTCCTGTACAGATCTATACAAGTTTTACTTACCCTGTTCCGCAGAGCATGCTCACCTCCCCACCTGCCATTTCATTATTGAGCCGCAATGGTGCAATCCAATGTTCTCTATACAGGAGATTTGGGGACCTGATGAGCAAGCATCGCACACATCCAAGTTTCCTCATTGGGAAAAAAAAATATCACTGTATGGACTTTTGTGTCAAGTGACCGAGTCAAGCACCTCTAGTGGCAATCAGGAAGACATCCACTAAAGGTAGAGTTAGCCCTGCGATGTAGACATTCCAGTTATCACAGCTGCTGTCAGTTTAATTAGCAGTTCCAACCATCCTATGCGATGACTGCTACTTAGTCTTTAGGGATAAAGTACTTATTACATAAACTGCTGCTGTACAGATAATTATGGGATATGATCAGTTATCACAGACCAGAATGAGATGCTTCTTGTCAGGACGCTTGGAAAAAAAAAATAAAAAAAATAAAAAGCCAAGTACCCGTTCGGCAATATTTTTAACACCTTAAAGGAACAGTCAAATATATATTCATGGGTGTGGGTTCCTTGCAGATCTTTAGCTGTTTAGATTTACCCCCTCCCACCCCTCTTACTTTTTTTTGCTTATTTAAGCATTGTGGGCATATACATCAATAGCTGAGATCCATCAATCCAGTGATTCTGTATGAGAAGAACTGGATACACAGCCAGTATAAGTAATCAGCACATACCTCATACAGACACTGGACATATAATAAGTTGAATTATTGAATTTATTTTAGTCAGAAGCCTCTAATGGCTGTCTAAATAACAGCCACTAGGGTGTTGGCATTGAAACAGACCCTTTTTTTCAACTGTGACAGCGCAGTTGAGATCACTTAATTAGGATTAAAAAAGGTTCTTGATTGTCCCTTAAAAAAACCAAACAAAAAAAAAAAACCACGATAGGGTCACAATTTAAGTACAATAAATCCTTGGTATCTTCACATCACCAAACATTCTCGTTGTTGTCCAACATACAAGCACTCATAATTCCCCATTTTCAAAACACACAATAGTAATTTGTGGCTCCCTGTTCATACAAAATAAACGAGAACTTACACAAGTGAAAAATACCGACTTCCACTCCTTTGTGCTTAAGCCTGATTTGAATATATATCAGTGTTCTATTGCACTAACCTCACAATCTCAGGGTTTCAAAAAACAAAACAACACACTCATAAAATTGTACTAAATCAACCCATTATCAAATGTAGTTCCAGTAATGCAAGAATGCACGATAAAAAGGTTTTAAAAATTAAAATACAGGAGGGAATTTTTTTTTTAAACATACATTAACGCAAGTTTTACTGCCACACAGCACGTTATCTAAACGTCTGTGAGAATAATGGTTACTTCTTTGTGGGTAACAATACCAGCAAATAATGAGACATTAGTAAGGAGAAACGCACAGCGAAGAACAGAACAGTTCTTTGGCACACAAACCTAGGGGCAGCTACCTTCTCCATTCATGCATGACACAATATCATGGGACACTAGAAGACTTGCAATAAGTGCTTGATAGGGCAACTTAATACAAATCTAAAATTAAAGGAAATAAAAGCACAGCCAATATCAAACTTGTTGTAGTCATAAAATAGAATATTAACCAAAATGCAAAAAAAACAAACAATAAAGTTAATGCAAATTAATGGTTTACATTTAGAGAATGAGATATATATATATATATATATTTTAACTGAAAACAATAATACAAAAGAGGCTAAGCTTCTTGGAGGATTAAAGGAATAGAGCGAAACACTGCAATTTTCCCAATGAGCAGAGTATTTACCAATTATTACAACTAATTTAGTGAAGCAAAACCAGGCTCAGAAAAGATATAAGGGCAGCAGCAGAGGTACCATTAAGAAGGGCAAATAGCTGTATATGCAGGCAAGTCTCATATGCAGGAGTAACAAGTTGTAGGTTAAAAAATGGTAAGCAATATAGTCCGTAGTTAGTGATGTCCTGAACGGTTCGCCGCGGACTCATCATTGAGTAAACTTTGACCCTGTACCTCACAGTCAGCAGACACATTCCAGCCAATCAGCAGCAGACCCTCCCTCTCAGACCCTCCCACCTCCTGGACAGCTCACTAACAATGCAGCTTCACAATGAATGTAAAATGGATGCTGTCCAGGAGGTGGGAGGGTCTGGGAGGGAGGGTCTGCTGCTGATTGGCTGGAATGTGTCTGCTGACTGTGAGGTACAGGGTCAAAGTTTACTCAATGATGAGTCCGTGGCGAACTGTTCGGGACATCACTATCCGTAGAATTTTAACACTCAATCTAGATGTAACTATTATAACACTTCACACAAAACCGGAACACTCACTAAATAGAAGAATTAAATCATTGCCTTCCACTTTAGGCTGAGACACAAAGCAGTCCGGATGGGTACTCTCACAGTTGTCAACTCGGATACTTTAAAAAAGGTGGTGATTTGAAATCTTGCATAAATTGAGAAGAGGGGACAGTTTGTTAACCCCTAAAGAAGATTTTGGAAGATGCCAGTAATGGTGAACATCCATAGAATTAAAAATAAAATGACAGATAAGTAAGATTTTTAGGAGCCATGTTTCCTGCAAATCACTTTTAAGAAATGACAAAAGAAGTATGCAGCCTCTACTTTAACTGATTACTGTGACGAAGTGCCCTTCGCCACTTGTGCCTGGAGAGGACTAATTACCAGCCTCTTGCCGTATGACTATGATCCCTGGGAGATTTCGCCAGTTAGAAACACCATTTGGACTTATTGGTGTTCTAAAAGACTGTTCTGGCCCTTTAAATGGTACTGGCATAGTTCTGCAACTTCCAATAACTGTCATATTTTCAAACTCTGTCTGACCTTTTTAACCCCTTAAGGACTGGACTGTTTTTGCGATGTTGTACATTTGCGACCAGGCATATTTTTACACTTTTGTGGAGTTTGTGTTTAGCTGTAATTTTCCGCTCTCTCATTTACTGTTCCCATACAAATTATATATTGTTTTTTTCAGGACAAAAGGGGATTTCTTTACATACCATTATTTATATAATCTCATGTAATTTAAAAATAAAACAATATGATGAAAAATGTAAAAAATGTTTTTTTTTACTTTTACTTGAAAAATCTTTTACTCATCTACAAAAGCAAATGAAAAAAAAAAAAACTGCTAAATAGATTCAAAATTTTGTCCTGAGTTTAAAAATACCCAGTGTTTACATGCTTTTTTGCAAGTTGTAGGGCTATAGGTACAAGTAGGATATTGCGGTTTCAAAACATAAATTTTTTTAAATTTATCAATAGTGACATTGTAACACTATTATCTGTCAAATCTCTGAATAACACCACACATGTACATATTTTTTTTTAAAGTAGAAAACCCAGGGTATTCAATATGGGGTATGTCCAGTCTTTTTTAGTACCACTTAGTCGAAAATACTGGCCAAAGTTAGCATTCATATTTGTTTGTGTGTGAAAAAAGTAAAAAACTAAATTGAACGCTAATTTTGGCCAGTGTTTGCGATTAAGTGGCTACTAAAAAAGACTGGACATACCCCATTTGCAATACCTTGGGTTGTCTTCTTTTGCAAATGGTATGCCATCATGGGGGTAATTCTCATTCCTGGGCTACCATACGCTCTCAAAGGCAACATAACCAACCAGGCCTTTTTCAATGTAAAAATATTTGACCCATATATTTGACCCTGTAACTTTCAAAAACGCTATAAAACTTCTACATGGGGGTACTGTTATACTTGGGAGACTTTGCTGAACACAAATATTAGTGTTTCAAAACAAGAAAATGTATCACAACAATTATATCATCAGTAAAAGTGCTGTTTGTGTGTGGAAAAAATGCAAAAAAAAAAAAAAAAAAGTCACTTTCACTGACAATATCATCGTTGTGATAGGTTTTACTCTTTTGAATCACTAATATTTGTGTTCAGCAAAGTCTCCCGAGTAAAACAGTACCCCCCCCATGCACAGGTTTTAGGGTGTCGTAGAAAGTTAAAGGGTAAAATACAGTGCTAGCAAATTAAATTATCTGGACTTTTGGCCTGGGTTGGCAGGCAGGTCCCTCAAATTGCAATCAATAAAATTACTTAAAGGACCACTCTAGGCACCCAGACCACTTCAGCCATTTTTTTTTAATTTTAATTTAAAATTTATATATTTATATATATATATATATATATATATATATATATATATATATATATATATATATATATATATATATATATATATATATATATATATTTATTTTTTTTTTATTTTGTTTTTCCTTCTTCTTCTTGGCACTCACCCTTAATTTTTCAAAAATAATTTGTATATTGCTGCCTGGGTGCCATCCTCAGCGTTTAAACATATAACAAAAATATAAGGAGCACTCACAGGTCTTCATCTGAATACTGATTTATTCTAAAGTGCAAATTACATGTGCAATCGACGTTTCGACCCTCACAGGGTCTTCTTCAAGATATACACATACATACACGTAATTTAATTATAAGTATTTTTATATTAATATAAAAATACACTTAGTATGAGAGTATATATATATATATATATATATATACACACACACACACACACAATTTTTTTATTTTATTAACTTTAATTTTTTTTTATTTTTATTTTTTATGATTTTACACTAGCAGGGAGACTGCCTGTCAGCACAGGCAGTCCCCCTGCAGGTATACACATGGACACCTATTGTGACCATGTGATTGCTCTGTTAAGAGATCACATGGCCCCAGGGGTCCTAATCCGCCATGGGGAGACTGTCTGGGCTGCAGGGGAAACGACGGCGATCAGGTAAGTACATTGGACCGTAAGGACCGTCACCGGTCAGCAACGCAAAAATGCTGATGATGGTCCTGAACCGTCCTCGGTCCTGAAGGGGTTAACTGTCATTTTGTTTTCCTCTGAGGAGGTGTTTTGCTGCATGAGTGCTGTTACTTTTGTGTGCTCATTAAACAGACCTGCTTGACCCTTTCTTGAAGCCTTGGCTCATGCTTGGGCGATGGGATAAGTCTGCAGTGCTGATGGTGTCGGTTGGAGTCCTCGGCAAGCACTAAGAGCATCGATTGGCGGAGGTACTCGGTCGGAGTGCCAGCGGGTCTGTCACATTTACCCCAACCAAAAAAACAGCATGCCCCTGTTAGCAAAAAAGTACATGCGATCCCACACCGAAGTCAAATTCTCCTTCAGTCTGATTCTCCTCTATTGACATCACTGCCCCTTACTGGAGGTAGATTATATCACAAAGGAGGACTTGGGCAGCACATAAGGGGGGGGTCCATGCCACCAGGAATGGTCATTCCGGTCTGCCAGAGGTGCACTTAAACCCATGGAAGCGATGTGCTATATCTGTATAGTGTACTATAGTAATGCACTGCATATATACACTCCAGTGAAGTGGTCATTGTTCTTGGAGTAACTTTTTGACATATCTTGCTGAGACAAACCACAAAGCAATAATTTGCATATTGTTATGCAGGTTTTAAAAATGTCTTGTTTAACAAAAGTGATAAAAAAAAAAAAATCACACCAGTTTCATTTAAATAAGCATAACGATAGATATAAAAATATTGCAATCGAAACAGAAGTAACAAGCACTTGTGAACAGTTGAACTTGACTGACTTGATTATGTTGAATTACTTAAGGGTATATTTGCTTAGTAAGCAAGATATTTATACTACACAATTTCACATTATTTTATTTATTTTTGCTTTATGCAATCATAACAACTTCTATCAAATAATGTCCCCTGACTTAGAGTTCATAAACTTCCATATGGAAGGAGGAATCCTCCACTCTCATGCATCTTGGGAAGACTACCAGCACCAACATCCGGAAAGGTTGCAGAGTAACCTGCCTCTGTTGAACTAATCACTCCAGTAATATCAATAACTTTTCAAAATCAGAAAACTGACCATTCCCCATTAACAGTAACTTGTACTAAAATCACATATACTAATATGAGCCACTATTTGCAAAGTATAACTGTCTATCTATAACAACCCCATCGCTACATTTTGTTTTTCTCCTGAATGCATGGGTAGTCACTTAAAATGTTTGTTTAATCTTGACTTTCCTTTTTTCTTATTTAGAACACAAAACACAAGGTTCATTTAGAACGTTCTGGGAAAGAGATTACCATTAAAATGGCAATCCCTTATCAAATGTGTGTAGTACAGTATGCAGGGACAGAGACTTCAAAAAGTCCTCAATCCCATCATGATGGCATACCATACACACATTACTCCTCGTGTAAATGGAGAAATACGAGTTGCAATTACCGGTCAGGTGACTTTTAAAGGTGATCAGTGTCTTAAGAGTGACTTTCAATCCCCTCTATAAGCACTAAAGTAGGGAAAAGTGTCGTTCAAAGGTCACATGCACAAGCTAATATCAGGTCAACACAATAACGTTTACAACCACCTAGTAACAAAATCATGAGGCAGCACTTGTTTGCCCCTATCATTAGACACCTTATTGCATAACAGAGATAATCCTTTTTCGGATAAATAGTCTTGTATAAGTTACGTTTGTAACAATCATTTTATGTTTATTTTAAGAACTGGTCTTATTTTACCGGGCTGAATTTAGACTTGCTTGTTTGAGAAAGTGAACAGATGTTACATGCAAACCCATACAGGTGTTTTTTGTTTGTTTTTTAATTTGAGAAATAACTCATATTCTGCATTTTTTTTTTGTGTGTGTGTGTGTCCCCCTCCCCCCCATGTTTGTATTACTTTTACAAACTAAAGTAAATATTGTGTATGTAATCATCTGGAAAAAAACCCCAAACAAAACATGAGTTGAATGGGAGAAGCCATTCAGCTTCCTAAGTGAGAAAACATTACAAGTGTGGGGATTAAGAAAATACAAAACCTGCATAGAGCACCAGACCTCACATACCAAGACAAACAACCTGTGTTGGGGTCACACGTACATCATGCCTCCTACACTTTACCCAGGACCTGTTTACAGAAACCAGAGCCATGATGCAATATCACTGTGTACATGACCTCATACAGTAACCCCAGTCTGTATACTCCATGTTATGACGATTGCTGTCATTGTGTAACATGGAGTAACACTCACTGCGGACACAGGAAATCAGCCAGTCAGTCATAAAGTCAGGGAGGCCAGCAATATGTATGGGTAGCTATAAAAATCCCTCAATCTGGACACCTGAGGGCTGCCAGTCAGCAGCTGCCATTGGGGGAACCAGGGGTGTAATTAACCTGTCACCCCCATAAATAACCCCACGGAGTGAGGGGGATGCCCCCCAGTATGGGAAGCAAAGCTCCTCTCCTGTCACAGTGCTCTAACTCTAATCACCCTCAGGCAAGCGGTGCTCCTACTCTAATCACCCCCAGGCAGGCGGTGCTCCTACTCTAATCACCCTCAGGCAGGCGGTGCTCCTACTCTAATCACCCTCAGGCAGGCGGTGCTCCTACTCTAATCACCCTCAAGCAGGCGGTGCTCCTACTCTAATCACCCTCAGGCAGGCGGTGCTCCTACTCTAATCACCCTCAGGCAGGCGGTGCTCCTACTCTAATCACCCTCAGGCAGGCGGTGCTCCTAACTCTAATCACCCTCAGGCAGGCAGTGCTGTAACTAATCACCCTCAGGCAGGCGGTACTGTAACTCTAACCACCCTCAGGCAGGCGGTGCTCTAACTCTAATCACCCTCAGGCAGGCGGTACTGTAACTCTAACCACCCTCAGGCAGGCGGTGCTCTAACTCTAATCACCCTCAGGCAGGCGGTGCTGGCCGCAGAGACACGCCCCTGGTGAGGCCTATTGTTTTGTTAGAGCCTGCCGGTGGTGACTGTGGTGCTGGCGGCCGTGTAAAGCGATACATTCCCAGTGTAGACAGTGCTGACGTCCTCCCCGCCCCGGCCCTGTGTGTGTGTGTGTCCCGCTGTCGCCGTTACTGACCTGCCTCTAGCCGCCGTATCGCTGTCTCTCTCCGCGTTCCCTCACAGCTTGTCCCTCCGCTTCCGCCGTACGTGTCACACCACCTAATCCCAGCGAGCTCAGCCCCGCCCACTGCCCGCGCTGATTGGTCCTCGCGGCAGATAATCAAAACATCGGCGCGAGCGCGAGTATCGTTACACTGGAGAGCGCCTGCCGTACTTTCAGTGTGTCACAGCGCTCCTAGCGGCTGTCACGTTGTGTTCGTACTCCCCTCGGCAATCTCCGGAACGCCGATTGTCCTCTCTGCTCCTTCCCTCCAGCTTTGAACTCTGCATGCTAAACTCGGCCTGTAACCCCGCCCCGCCTACCACAATACGTAACTCCGCCCACAGCCCTTGACATATTAACCGTACGCACTAACTCCTCTGTCTTTCTGCCCCTCCTCCTCCCACAACCCCGCCCCCATTGGAGAAGCCCCGCCTGTTGTAAAGAAGCCCCGCCCCCGTTGCTGCGTACACAGTGTCTGGGTGTCAGCTCTCCCTCTTGCAGCACAACCTGTAACTATAGCAACCATTAGTGCCTGCTGTGCTGTACCAGGGCCAGATTAAGAGCCCATTGGGCTTGGTGCTGACAATTATGATGGGCCTAATTACAGAATCATATCGACAAAAAACACTAAAACATTTATATCTCCCAAGCATCATGTATCTGTTGGAGGTGGTGCTGGAGTGAAACGCACAGAGTATAGCTATCAGAAAACACATACCCTATGCCAGGGGATCCCAATTAATTTTTCCCGTTGAACCCTTTGACATAATGCACTAACAACGTGGAACCGTCTAATTTTTGGCGCCATAGCGCAGATTGTAAACAGATAGTAGTACTTAGGAGCAGGTGTGCTTTTGTGTGTACAGTTGGTATTTGAAATGGAAAAATCAATCAAGGTATTGATTATTTCTTTGTGTATCTGCCCCTGGCCAAATCAATGAAACAATGCGTGCACGCTCCCTGAAGTAATTCACACCAGACACAGGTTCCAGGTTGTTGAATAACTTGAGGAAAGTTTATTCAGAGGGGACGGCAGGTCCCTTTTAAAGCAAAATTACATCATAAGCATTGTCAGAGATAACATGGAATAATACATCAATAATTGGTTAGGTGTTAAGTGGTCGCTCTAATGCTCTGCCTACTGAAGGTGATGTCACCAGGGCCATGAGGGTCTCCCACGGTTTCCCGGCGCCATCTTGCTGCACGAGGTAGTTAGTTGGTGTTAAAGGGAGAGGGAGGAGAAGTTAGAAGCTTCTAGCAGCCTTTTTGATTAAAACATGTGTGCTTAGCTTATATATTGTGTATAGTGAAATGAGTAAATAGACATTTTCATTAACTTGGAAATATGTGCAGACCTTATTTCCACAACAGTCCCCCCTAAAATGGCTATTTACTATGACAACTTGCTACTGTCCCTAGTGTATCCCTAGCCGCCTGCAGCTCATCTGTCTTCGCAAGCATCGAACTCTTCACTCCGTGGGTAACCCACAGTAGCTAGTCCACCACATCTCCGCACGTGAGACTTGCCCGTTAAGACAGATGCTTTCCCTATACTGTCCCTACAAAAAAGCAGTTGTCTGTTTGAACTGATGTGATTGAAGGGGTGTATGTGGAGTGTCATCTTCGAGGTCTGTGATGTCTTGATGTAGGAAAGTAGGGGTAACGTCATCTATAGTCTTATCTACTGCCTTCTGTAAGTACTTCTGTATGCAAGGGAGCACGCAACAGGTTAAAAATAAGAAGATGATAATCATTATAAGAACACCTGGAAGAGGGTCCTTTGCCAACCATTCATCCACCCAAACCATCTGTCCCAGGTGTCAGTGACTCCTGAATTCTTCTTTAGCTCGTCAGAAAGACTATCTAGCTTCTCTATGGCCATAGTTACCTTACCATTGGGCCCAGTGTTGTCTGGAATGTTTGTACAGCATGTCATAGTCTCAGGGAGGATTTTACATACACCCCCTTTCTCAGCTAAAATCATATCCAGGGCCATTCTGTTCTGAAATGTCATTTGGGTAGTAGCTTGTAACTGCTCTGCCAGGCCCTGTAGGGCATCCCTTGTGTAGTTAACGAAGCGCTGCTGATTATAATAGATGTAGTTGATCCAATTGACATTCTTATTAGCAGTTATCATTGGAATTAAGGATTCAAATCCTGCTGCCACTTCATCTCTTGCTTTAAATTCGTTAGGCACCCCCCTTGGCACACCTATGGCATCAATATACACATGGGGGTCGAAGCTCCCTCGGATGGGAGCCTCTCGTTTGGTTCTAGGATGTACATGTGTAAGGTTTAGTGTGTTATGACTACCATCTGGAATAATGTGGATAGGCATTATAACTTTGGTTAGGGCACACTCCCCCCACCATTGCCCAGCTAGTTGGGACCTCAATTGTTTATCACCACATAACCAATAGATATCACCGATTGTCTTTGTGTGGTTCATTAGCAATGATACAGGTGGACTATGGTAAGTTGAGCAGTATCCTGATGGGAATTTGCCCAGATACAAACCAGTGTTCTTAGGTATTGAATAGCATGTGTAATTACCTGGGTAGACGGTGACTCCATCAGGTGGCTTTACATGTCCATGAGTGATTGGGTAAACTCTCTTCCATGATTCACATGTTGAGGAGTTTGTAGTGGACTGTGCATAAAGGCTTAAAACACATAATTCTACTTCAGGAGGTAAGCTCAGAGGTACTGTGCCCAGATGGGGCCTGGCTCCTCCACATACGTAGCAGTTAGTTCTATTATGTGAGTTGGCATTATACCTCATCCATTCTAGCCACAAATTAGTGTCTGAAAACCCAGTCTCCACTGCCATGGTGTCTTCAAAGGTGGGGTTGGCTATAGCTACCATGTCATGTAGGGTCTTAATATGGGGTTTTAATGGGTTAATGATCATGTGTGTGGTCCCTACCCAGTCTGGGGAGGTGAGCATGTCTTGTAGGTAAAATGTCCCCAGTGCATTATGTGAGCCACCTCCCTTCCAGTACATCCCCATCACATATTCTCCTGCATCCCTTGGGCTGGGGTGTTCTATATTCAGGGTAAGCTTAATGGGAGTTGACCCTATGGGTTTACTCAGGGTCATTCTAGAGAGTAGGGGTTTCCCGTCTTTGTCAAGTCTGTCCAGTGCAATTTGGGGTCTGTAGCCCCATGGCCTATCCGTGTTCCACCCAGCAGCTTTCCATCAACTACAATGGTGTCCCCAAACTCCTCCAGTCACACAAATGTATGGATCCTTTTTGTTAGGTATGTCTTTGTATATGGCTGCATATTGTGTTTGTGGAAATGTACAAGTAACTATGTCACAGTAATCAAAGGTGTATGTAGCTACATCAGTATTAGAAGAATTGTACCAGAAAGTGTAAACATGATTATCTTTGGTTATGGCCACTTGTTGGGCCCAGGCAAAGTGTAGCAGCATAAGAAAACACAAGACACATAATAAATTCATATTTCAGCAGAATTAGCCTCTTCTGGAGCAGGCACTTTCTTGCAATGTGAAGCGTGTATCCAAGAACTCTTCCCGGCTAGTTTAACTGACGTTGCTGTAATCAGGAGCACTTGATAAGGACCATCAAATCTCGGTTCTAGGGTGTGTTTCCTGAGAAACTTCTTGACCATAACCCAATCACCAGGAAGCAGCTTGTGTGTACCTGTATTCGACTTAGGATCTGGAATAGAAGAAAACACTTGGGCATGTATCTTGGTCAAGGCATGTGAGAGGGCAGTCACATAGTCTACCATAGCATCTGACTGAATCTGAAGCTGTTGGGGAAAGTAGCGACCTAACCTGGGTGCTGTACCAAACAAAATCTCATAAGGTGACAGGCTATATTTTCCTCTGGGAGTGTACCTTACACTAAACAACGCTAGTGGGAGACTCTCAGGCCAGGGCATGTTAGTTTCTTGTGACATTTTAAGCATTCTGGCTTTCAAAGTGCCATTCATGCGCTCTACCTTACCACTACTCTGTGGGTGATATGGTGTGTGGAATGCAAGGGTCACCCCCAGTGCTGACCAGACTTCCCGTGTTAACGAGGCAGTGAAGGAGGTCCCTTGGTCACTTTCAATCACTTCTGGAACTCCATAGCGGCAAACAATTTACGTCAAAAGATACTTGGCTGTAGTCCTTGTGGTGAGATTAGTCACTGGGAAGGCCTCTGGCCATCCTGAAAACATGTCCACTATGACCAATGCATATTCCTAACGTCCACTTTTTGGCATCTGGATGTGATCAATCTGGATCCTCTGGAAGGGGTATTGTGGTTTGGCCAGGTGATTAGGTGCGGTCTTTATGATCTTTCCAGGATTGCACTTAGCACATATAGTACAAGATTTACAGTAATTCTGTGTTAAGGTAGTGATACCTGGTGCTTCAAAATACTTGTCAATCAGTGAGTTCATCAGGAGTTTCGACAGGTGGGCTGGCCCATGGGCCCATTGGACCACCGCTGAGTACATACTTCTGGGTAAGCAGAACTTGAGATTGATGGTGTAAACATCATCACGGAGTACAGCTCCTTTGTTCTTCCAACTTTGTTTCTCCTGGGGAGTAGCAGCAGCTTGTTGTTCCTTCAGAAGCCTAAGATCTGTAGGCAATGTTTGCATAGTGTAGATGGGTAATGTATCTGTGGCCACTCTTCTGTCCACTTCCCATCCTTGCCGTGCTGCTTCCTTAGCTGCCTGATCAGCTAAGTGGTTGCCACGTGCTTCTTCTGTGTCTAGTCTTCCGTGGGCTTTAACTTTCAGTACTGCCACCTCTGCTGGAAGTTCCAATGCATCCATCAGTTCTGCAATGGCTGCCCCATGTTTTACTGGGGTACCGGTAGCCGTAAGAAATCCTCTGGTCTTCCAAATTAGGCCAAAGTCATGTGCTACTCCCAGGGCTTATCTTGAATCCGTGTAAATATTGACACGCAGACCTTCAGACAATTTGCAGGCCACAGTCAGGGCTGTTAGCTCGGCTTCTTGAGCAGACTTAGTTGGTTGTAGGGCAGCTGCGTGTAATACTTGACATCCTGTGGTGACTGCATACCCAGTGTGATATTGTCCCTGTTCATCAGCAAATCTTGACCCGTCCACAAATAGTGTTTGGTCCGGGTTGAGTAGTGCAGCTTCATAGACAGTTGGTAGGTGTGTAGTTTCCATTTTCATTTGTTCAAAACAATCATGAGGAATATCTAAGTCACAGTCTGTGATGAGTGGGTCTTCACGGGCTTCTGTGTGGTACCTTGGGTACCCTGCCGTACAGTAATTAATAGTCTTTTTGTTGATCCCCGTAGAAGTCAGTTGTTCTTGGTTCATTTGACTCCAGGTTTTGGCCATCGGGCCTAGATCTTTCCATTAGGTATCGGGGGATCTGGTGAGAGATATGTGTGGGATAGCTGTTTCCCAATGATGATAGAGATGTGTCACATTCTCTGGAAGATGGACTAAGATGAGCATGGTACCTGTGGGGTCCCAGAATAAGTCAGTCAGGGTAATTTGAATTTCCTTGAGCTGGAATAGTTCTTCTTCATAGTTCATATCAGGGCCTGGTATGTCCTTAAACCATAAGGTACAGTGAAGTAGGGCCTCTGATTGTTCATCATGTGGGGGTGCATGCGCAGGCAGCTACAAATCTGCCCGAACCTTTGGGTTGATGTCCAGACTGTACCAGTAATGCACAACTCCCCCCTTGGGAAGTGGCAGAAGAGTGGCTGGGTTCAGGGAAAGACATCTCTGAAGTTTCACATTGTCAGGTAAAAGTAAGGAGGTTTGTAGACGGAGGTGACGTTGGGATGAAAGGTGCTTAGGTTGAACTTGTTGCAGGATTGCAGTAATGTCATGAGGAGCCAACACCGTGAGGTGGTGACCAAGAACAAAATCATTAGTTTTGTCCAGGAGGGCGCTGGCAGAAAACACAGCCCTGAGGCAGGAGGGACTACCCCTCGCAACAGGGTCAAGCATGCAGGAAAAATAGCCAATAGGTCGTTGTCTTGAGCCATGTTTCTGGGTAAGGACTCCGGAAGCATGTCCTGACTTTTCAGAGACAAACAGATTGAAAGGTAGCTGGTAGTTGGGTAGGCCCAACGCGGGTGCAGAAGCAATAGCTCTTTTCAGATTGTGGAAACAGGTGATGGTTTCTTCAGTAAGGTGGAAGGGCTCACTCCTGAGGGCATCATAGAGTGGCTGCATGAGTTTTGATGCTTCTGGTATCCAGGACCTGCAGTATGTGATAAGACCCAAAAAGGCATGAAGAGTCTGATGTGTTGCAGGTAAGGGAAGTTGCAAAATAGCTTGTACACGTTGAGAAGTTAGATGTTTGGTGCCATGGGAAAGACAATGTCCCAAGAAGACCACAGAGGGCCGGCACCATTGTAGCTTGGATTTGGAAGCTTTGCAACCGGCTGCAGCGACGAAACATAGGAGATCTTCTGAGTCACGCTCTGCAATGAGCAAATCAGGAGCGCAGAGAAGGAGATCATCAACATATTAAAGCAGGACAACATCCGAGTGAGATTTCTGCCAGGGCTCCAGAACCAGAGACATGGCATGAGCAAACTGTGTGGGGGAATTCTGGGTCCTGAGGCATGACAGTCCCGGTGTATTGTTGTCCTTCATGGGTGAAGGCGAAGAGAAAGCGGCAGGAAGGGTCAAGGGGCACACTGAAAAAGGCATTGGCCAGATCCACTACAGTGAATATTGTGGCAGTTGGTGGAACCTGGGACAAGAGTGTGTGTGGGTTTGGAACAATAGCAGTGTCTTTTATGGTTACTTCATTAACAGCACGGAGATCCTGCACCATTCGGTACTGGTCGGGTTGACCCTTAACAGTTCTCTTTTTAACAGGGAAAAGTGGTGTGTTACAGGGGGATGTGCACTTGATGAGGGCACCTTTGGCAAGTAGGCTTTCAACTTGTTTAGTGATGGCATCAGCTTGTGCTGGCTTCAGAGGATACTGTGGTCTACGGGGAGGCAGTGCTCCAGGCAGGAGCTTGACCAAGACTGGGGGCACATGCAAGCGTCCAATATCATCCGGGCCGGTGGACCAAAGTTCTTGGGGGATACGATCCAGAGCACTGGGGGTTTGTGAGACCCGTACATTCCCTGTATTGTCAGTTAAGTTCAACAAGATGGGGAGTGAACAAAGGACAGAGGTGTCTTTTTGTGATAAGGGAGTTGTTAACTCAACTTGACCATCAGCAGTAAAGGTAATAGATGCCTGGAGCCGAGAGAGAACATCAGCACCTAGGAGGTTAATGGGGCAAGTAGAGGAAACAGCAAACCGGGAGAGAATGTGTGAACCTACATGCAGAAGTTTAGTAAGGGGGTTACTGCGGGGTGTACCATCCACCCCAACACAGGAGACATCGGTGTCAGATAAGAAGGAAGGATCTGGCAGGTCTTGTTCCCTGAGGACACTACGGGCTGCACCTGTGTCAACTAGAAAGGTGGTTGGATGACCCTCCACGGGGAGAACTACAGTAGCTAAGGGCCCTCCCCCATCCCCCGCAGACACTGCCATGGCAGGGGTTGCTGACACAGGCTTGCCAGTTACCTATTGTAATAAATCTAGATGGGCCTGATCTGGTCCCTGGTACCGGCGGGAAGTGCAGGGAGGGTTATTAGATTGCATGGGAGGACGGGATGGACGATTAGCATGGCGGGGCAGTGACTGACTGTCTTGGAAATCATCTGTGTCATACCCTTCAGCAGAAGCCGAAGGGTATGCACGGGCTTCTGATGCAGGGAGCCGGGCTTGGGTGTATTCAGGAGGAGGAGGAGGAGGTGGAGGAAGCTGAGGCAACTGTGGATGGGGCAGGGCAGGGAGGTAACCAGTGGAGGGGAAACTGTAGCCAGTGACATGAGGACTCGGATACCGGGGAGTCTGTGGGCGGATTACTCTAGGGTGTGGGCAATCTCTTCTAAAGTGACCTGGCTGATTACAGTTAAAACAGGTCCAGATTGTCGTGATAGTCCGGTCCCGGGGAGAGGGAATTGATGTAGGCAGTGTCTGGGGTAACTGAGTGTATTGTTGGGGGAGTATCTGAGGAACTTGGTTAGGACCGGCAATTGGTGTGGAGGTAGTATACATCAGAGGGCTAGTTCTTCGCTGTGTGGGTTGCAGAACAGATTCTAAACCCTTGGCTACCAGCAAAAGGGTGTCCAGTGGGATAATTCTGTACTCTGGGCGAGCTAAAATCAACCCCTTACGAATGTGTTCCCTAAGGCCTGCCACAAAAGCTGCAGATAACATCTGGGTGTGTGCTTTGTTATAGGTGCTGAACCCTAAGTCTGAAAAAGTCTGAGTCGATCTAGAGTGATACTTTTCAACTGTCTCAAGTTTATCCTGAATTATGTCATTTATGCAAGTAGCTTGATCAGCTAATTTATCCTGTGCCCAAGCTCGGAGCTGTTCACCGAAAATTTCACCAGAACGAAAATCAGTATCAGAAGTGAGTGGAGCATCGTTAAAGCTCCGTTCCATGATTGGCCAGTATGCATCTCCAGCCTTTATCTCACACAAACTAATAAGATCCCGCCAGGCAGCGGAGTATGTTTTCCGAATTTGGGCCATCCTGCGGAAAAAGGGCATGGGGTGTTTCTCAGGATCAGGGAGTGAGGTTACAAGGGTAGCAGCTTGGGAAGGGTTGAAGGTAACATACATGGGTGGTGCTCCATCCGCTCCATGGTTAATCTGGGTATAACCCTGGGGGATAGAGTGCCGTTGGGGGAGCCTGTTCCCCCCTGGGCGAGGTGAATCCTGTTCTACCACAACGATCTCCTCGGGTGCCACCGGGCCACGGTGAAGAGTAGTCTCAGGGGTAGCTGTGGCGGGGGCGGCAGGGAGACCGGTGATGGGAGAGGTAGTTGGGTGGAAGCCCGAGGCCTGAGGGGAAGCACCCATTGCATAGGGTTGGTCCGATGTCACAGACACCTCGGACCCAACCACCATGATTGGATAACTAGGGCTGGCGGAAGAGGCATGAGGGATCAATGCCATGGATGGGGCTGCTATGGGGGCCGGCTGAGATGGGCGTGAGAGGTGGGTGTTTAGGACATGAGCGAGAGCAGAGATTGGATCGGACGGCTCGGGGATGTTAGCGGGGGACAAAGAAGGGGTTGGAGGTTCAGGGGGAGGAGGTGGAGGAGGGGGTGGTAAATCAGTGGGAGGCGGTACAGGGATCGCGGAATTAACCAGGGAGGTAACAGCAGAGAAGAGGGCGGATATCGAGCTAGACAGGTCATTGGCCATGGTTGGGTCAGGGGTCGGAAGGATGGGAACAGGGGGCTGGGTTGTGACAGCGTGGGTAGAGGGTTGGGACGGCAAATCAGCTGGGGGAGGAGGAGGCAACGAGGTAGAGGGGGCCGGGACATCGGGAGGAGGTAACACTGGAGAAGGGGTTGGAGGGGTGGGAACGGGGGGTTGGGTCAGGGCGGTGAGGGCAGAGATTAGGGACGGCAAATCAGCCGGGGGAGGAGGAGGCAACGAGGTAGAGGGGGCCGGGACATCGGGAGGAGGTAACACTGGAGAAGGGGTTGGAGGGGTGGGAACGGGGGGTGGGTCAGGGCGGTGAGGGCAGAGATTAGGGACGGCAAATCAGCCAGGAGGGGAGGAGGCAACGAGGTAGAGGGGGCCGGGACATCGGGAGGAGGTGGCGGTGTGTGGATAACGGGAGGGTCCTGGAGGATGGGAGGGGTGCCTGGGAGTGTTGGGAGTGAAGCAGAAAGGGCGGCTACTATTGTTGCAAGATCAACGGGAGGGGAGGGGGCAGAGGGAGGGCCAACTGTGGTGATACATGATGGAGCAGAGGCAGGGGGGCTGGGATCAGCGGGTTGGACAAGATTCATGAGAGTGGAGAGTAGGGATGAGGGATCCTTAGAGGAGGAAGGGGAAGGGGAATGAGAAGGAGAGAAAGGCAGAGAGGGTGAAGGGGTAGAGGTCACGGGACAGGTCACTTTCGAAAGGCTAGCAAGGAAAGAGGAAAGGTCTGGGTCCGGGGGTATGGGAGAAGGAGGGTCTGTGGGGGGACAGGGGTCCGGAGGAATGGGGGCAGTGGGATGGACAAGGGTCGAGGGAGCAGAGTGTGAAGCAGTCGAGGGGGGGTAAGGGAGCGGGTGTCACTGGTGATGGGGTACTCGAGGTGGAGAGGGAATGAGAGGAGGAGGAGGAAACGTCGGTGGATGAGGCGGGAGCGGTCAGGACGGGATCTTGGCGAGGTTTTGGAGTAGAAGCAGGCACTGGGAGAGGTGGCGGAGGACATGGAGGCGGGGGAACATCAACAGACGTAACAGGAGAAGGGTTGATGGAGGGGGCTGGGTCAAAGGGAGGTTGGTGCATGGGAGTGGGTGGGAACGAATGAAGTGGCACTGGATAGTAGTAAGCACCGTCTGCACCGAGTACGGGGCACAGGGGGGTGGGAGCTGAAGGCACACCCCCGGGGGGTGGGGTCTGTGCTGTGACGGGGGAAGCAGGGCTGGAATTTACTGTTGCGCTCTGGGCGCCATCATAGGGCGGTGGCCGCGGGACAATGGAAACAACATCATCATTGTTAACACTCCTATGGTATACATACACAATTTGCCCCTCAAAATCCAACTCTTCCTCGACCCACCCTTCCCGTTTCAGACCTCTAGCTACCCGATACCAAGCCTCTGCAACCTTTGTGAGTCCATTATCCAACAACAACCCTTCCTTGTCTATGAGTAACTTCCTCCAAAACTCAGTTGTAATCTCCCACTGGGCGGCATCTGGAAGCCACACACCTTAGCAATCTTTCTAAGTTTCAACATTGCATCTTCCCCTGCCCTTTCTTTCACAATGTCACAAGCCAACAAGCCCTTAGCAGGTCTAGCATGTTCCTGCCCCATCTTGTATAATCGGAGTGAGCCACGTGCTAGGGACAGATAAATAGAGGAGATACAAGGGAGAAGGAAAAGGAATGTCTACAGTGCTCGACTGCCACGAGGACTTGAGTCCCGTGCGTCTTCCCCAAACGTAGACTAGTCACGGGGGTCCGCCCACCCGGGGTGGTGGTCACGGACGGGAGCGAGCGAGCGTGGGTGACTAACACAGCTCTGGGCAACAGGCACAGGAAAGATAAAGGACAAAGGAGAAAATGAACGTGGCTACACTAATGAGAAGACATTTGCAGAAGTCACAAACATATAAATGAGCGTAAACTCCGGAATCCAGAACTAACCACACTATACACACACACACACCAAGGGTACCCACACTGTAACAACAATTAAACAAAAACCACAGAATGACAGAGAGTAAAATGGCCATGTACATGTTAACACCACTGGTGCCAAATATTCAAAATGTAGCAATCCCCAGCCCTCACCCACCAGGCCGGTCCCGGTATTACACAAGTACCAATGAAACACTGCAATAATCAAACAAAATCCCTGCCCCACCGGCTGTAATGCGTTCCCTGCCCGCTAGGCAGTCAAGCTAACATAAAATCCCAGCCCCACCGGCTGTAATGCGTTCCCTGCCCGCTAGGCAGTCAAGCTAACATAAAATCCCAGCCCCACCGGCTGTAATGCGTTCCCTGCCCGCTAGGCAGTCAAGCTAACATATAAAACCCAGCCCCACCGGCTGTAATGCATTCCCTGCCCGCTAGGCAGTCAAGCTAACATATAAAATGCGTTCCCTGCCTGCTAGGCAGTCAAGCTAACATATAAAATGCGTTCCCTGCCCGCTAGGCAGTCAAGCTAACATATAAAATGCGTTCCCTGCCCGCTAGGCAGTCAAGCTAACATCTTTTAAAAGGGAGAAAAACACACACACATTCGAACGAATACAGGAGGCAGATAGACAATCGACAGGTTCACTTTAAAAAGGCACACCGGATGAGCTAATTACCTGTCTCTAGTAGCCTTCTGGAAGCCGGAAGTGGACTCGGAGACAGACCGACACAAAACAGGAGAATAACACAGGCAATGGCTGTATTATGGAGGTGATCAGGCTCCACTTGTCCCACTTTCCGGAGGTCCGCTCCGGTCCGTTGGTTTCCGGCCCTCCGAACCGGCCCTCCGGTGGCCCCACGTTGGGCGCCAATTGAAATGGAAAAATCAATCAAAGTATTGATTATTTCTTTGTGTATCTGCCCCTGGCCAAATCAATGAAACAATGCGTGCACGCTCCCTGAAGTAATTCACACCAGACACAGGTTCCAGGTTGTTGAATAACTTGAGGAATGTTTATTCAGAGGGGACTGCAGGTCCCTTTTAAAGCAAAGTTACATCATAAGCATTGTCTGAGATAACATGGAATAATACATCAATTATTGTTTAGGTGTTAAGTGGTAATTCTAATGCTCTGCCTACTGGGGGTGATGTCACCAGGGCCATGAGGGTCTCCCACGGTTTCCCGGCGCCATCTTGCTGCACGAGGTAGTTAGTCGGTGTTAAACGGAGGGGGAGGAAAGGAGGGGTTAGAAGCTTCTAGCAGCCATCTTGATTAAAACATGTGTGCATAGCTTATATTGTATATAGTGAAATGAGTAAATAGACATTTTCATTAACTAGGAAATATGTGCAGACCTTATTTCCACAACAGT